GGTTTAAGGTGACCGAGGATGCTGTTCTGTGGACTCAGATTGTTGTCGAAGGCTGCAGAGGTAGGAGGAATTAAAGATAATGTAGTTATGTTAATTGGGAGACATGAAGGAAGATTAGGAGGTAATGAGAGGGGAAGTGGATAGCAGTCTGAGGAAACTTGAGTGCTGACAGAGTTGTGAGGGCGATTGATGCTCTCCGGCTGCCCACACTGTGGAGGGCTATTTCTTTTTAAGGTACCTGAAAGAGATTTGTGTGACCGCAGAGCCCATTGGACATCTGCTTGATGCCTGTCACACCCAGCCTTTTGTGTATGATTATTTTGAACTTTTGTTGTTTTGGAGCCGGATGGTCGAAAAGAAACGACAAATGAACCAACACCGCCGGCCCGGCAGACCGTGGGGCATGGTGGAGTGTGTTATTTTTGGGGCCGACCTTTTCTAACCCCCACCCCCCCTTCCACTGAGAAGGCAGCATCAGCATGGCACTGCTGGTCATCCAAGGGAAACACCTTACTGCTGTCACACCCCATCCAGCTAACGGCAGTACGACTTCGCCCCCAGACCCCCATCATAGTGTAGCAATTTACACCACAACGGTAACTGCTTTTCGTCTAACCACTATCCAGCAGACCTTCGTGGTATGGTAGGACCTCGACGGAACAAGTGTTTCACCAGCATAGCTCGTTGGGTCACTGTGATATGCAAGCCTGACCACCACGTCAAGGTAGCAGCTATCGGTCGGGAAGTAGATTATTCAGGCGCCATCGCATTATAACATCGCGTTGTTCTTGGGGACTCAAGCAATCAATGATTGAGATCAATCAAAAGGCATCATGTCTCTGACCTGCGTAGCCTAAATAAGGTTACAGTCAACCAAACCAACAATCATGATCGACCTTCTTTAGATGATTGTAATGCTACTTACTCCAAGTCACTCAAAGCCTCCACAACATGAGAAAGACTTTGAGGGTCGAGGTCGACCTTCGCTTCGGTTAGTGACCAGGTGGTGGGTAACGAAAGTGACTGGAGGTCAGTTGGACTGTCCGTGATAGTTTTCTACCAGTTGGAGCAACCGTTTACTCTGGGAGTGTCTTCATGTTTTCCTAGTTTCAGAAATCATGAACATTTGTATCTCTTCCTGCAATAAAGGCTTTAGCAACACTATGTACTACTACTTCCTTCTTCGCTTATTCAGCCTATGCTACTCAGCAGTCGTTATGTAGACTCATTCACTATCAGTTTACATTTGGCTTGTTTCTATTAGTATTTGTGCTCAGATCTTGTAGAAATGTTTACGCATAACCACTATTTCGAACGAATTTCCTGTGATCCAATGAATGCTTTCTGGGAGTTCCGAGGGTAGATTACCGTCTACAAGTACACTGTAGCTGTCTAATTCTTAGAATTGATTGAAGTATATCCATCAAGTTTTGCGATATAGCCACTTACCGAGGACCTTTTCTACTGTTTTTTTACAGCAGACTAGAAATGATGTCAGAATCATTGACATAAGTGATGTTATCACTTCGTGTCAACTGTCCAACCAGTTTCTTCATACATGCAGCTTCAATATCTTGATAAAAACAACTTGAGCTAAAAAAGATCTCTGATTTAAAGTCTTTGGAATTCTGTCAAGTTTCAGGTAGATAAAAGCTTGATTTGACACATGGTCACAGTCCATGCACATGTTTCAGAAAGAGCAGTGATTAACTACCGACTCAGCTTGGTGGTGAATGATAGTGGCATAACCTATTTTTGCTTACCTTCCAATTGAGGTAGATGAGTTCCTTGAAAAGACAGCTTTTCTCCATATCTGAAATTTGCGCTGGCTAGAAATAGATAGTTAGTTATCTCCGCACAAATGTAGAGGATACCCACATTTATCAGTTGAAAGGTTTGTGATTTTGAAGGCGTCTTCATGTTTGTGTCAGACCTGTCCGCTGAAATCACCACATATAAACGTTGGGTTTTTGGAGGAAACTAGACATTTTATAGTAGAACTTATCTTTCACTTTATCTAACTTTTCCCAGCATGTATGCACGTGGAGACTGTGTAAAACGTACGTTTGCACAACTATTTTCTTTTGTCTTTATCGCATTAGTCAGTCGAACAGCGATCACGTGACTAATCTCTTAAACCACCTAACTGAGCGTTGCGTAAGCAAAGCCGAGGGTGTTACAACTAATCGATTGTACCATCCGATGAAATGTATACCCCACTGATTATCTCATCAGGTTCAATGAGATGTAAGGAGTCAATGACGGAAAAGCTTGAGTGACACGGTTGAGCACCAATCAACGGCGCAGAAGTATTTGCTTCATATCATCAGCATTTAAAATTCTGACCACTTATTTAATGATTCTGTTCTCATATCCTATTGCATATTTTGATATCATCCTAGTTGTGTTTACTTTTTACGTTGACGTAAAGTATGCCAGTGTGAATTATTGCAATTCCATTTTAGACTGTTTATTAGAAATATGACAGTGAAACAGTAGCATTTACTGGATAACCTTTTGGACACAATTTATTGTCCATCTTCATATCAGGTAACTCCAAAACTTCGAGACAGACTTTATATATTCCTAATCTTCTCGCCCTCTCTGTGATGACAATGGTAGTAGAATTTTCCATATATCTGGGACAGGTGAAGAATCATTTCGATTGCATGTATTTGGTGTTGATTCGATAAACAAAGATTCCGTTATCAATCTCTCCCTCACTCCACCCAACTAATTTAGTTTTCAACACTATCCCCCTATCCCTCCCTACTGCATGTCATCGCAGAGGAATCAGCCTGACGAACATAGTATCCAAAATCCTAGGTTCTATAATTCTCCGACGCCTGAGTGGAGCTCGGGAACACCATGCCCGAGAAAACCAGGCAGGCTTTAGACATGGCCGTGGATGTATCGACCAAATATTCACACTGCGCCAGGTCCTGGAACATAGGCATGCTTACAGACGCCCGACAATAGCTGTATTTCTCGACCTGAAGGCGGCATTTGACTCCGTTGATCGAGAAGTCTTGTGGCAATGTCTCTCACTAAAAGGCGTGCCTAGTAAGTACATCACCTTATTGAAAGCCCTCTACTCGAACACTTGTGGGCATGTCCAGGGAGCTATACTCATCAAGTGGTGTCCGTCAAGGATGCCCACTATCCCCATTCTTATTCAATTTTATCACAGATATTCTTATGGAGGTTTCACTCTCGTCACCTTATTACACAGACGTTGACCCAATCACATGTGAATTTTCTTTAGATCTAGAATATGCAGATGACATAGTCCTGTTAGGTGAAGACGCTGACAAGATGCACAGTCTTCTGAACACTTTGAGTGGGAATTTGAGAATGTTTGGGATGCAATTTTCACCACCCAAATGCAAATTTTTGCTCCAGGACTGGTCTTCAGCGGTACCACGGCTAACAATAGAGAGTGAGTGTAGTGGTTGAGTGTGTTGACCACTTCACTTACCTGGGAAGTAGGATCAACCCCGGTGGGTTAGTTGCCGATGAGATTTCTGCAAGGATACAAAAGGCTCGATTGGCTTTTGCCAATTTGCGCCACCTATGGCGCCACCGTCATATCCGATTGTCTATTAAGGGTCGCGTGTACTGTACAGCAGTCCGCTCTGTTCTACTGTATGGCTGTGAAACATGGCCATTGAAAGTGGAAGATATAAAAAGGCTTCAAGTGTTTGACCACCATTGCCTTCCTAGTATAGGACGTATTCTGTGGTGTCACCATGTGAGTACTGCAGAAGTTAGGTGTAGAGTTTTAGGGAGAAGAGGTAAGTCAGTTGACGAGGTTGTGAACCTTCATCGACTGAGATGGTTGGGACACGTACTAAGTATGCCTAGTCACCGCTTGCCTCGTCACACAATGTTGGCTGAGGTGGGTTCAGGCTGGAAAAAGTCCTGAGGTGGCCACACTAAAACATGGCACCAATGTATGAAGTCGCTGACTGTTGGTTTGAGCCATGTGGGGCGATGCAGACTAACCAGTTGGGGTTCATAGGACAAGATGAACCAGTGGCTGGAGACTAGGTAATATGGCTCAGAACTGATGTCAGTGGCGCAGATGTATACACACATTATCCTCATCTTAACAACGCTATACCGAATCTCACCATTTTGTCACTCCTCTTTTCGTTCTTCTCGTACTTTATATTTCCTTTGACTGCATTCACTTATCTTCATCCTTCACCTCACTACCTTTTTACTTGATGTGCTGATATGAGGTGTGGCAACTCGGACCGTTACGCAGTAATGCCTGGTCCTATGTTGATAATGATGATGATGTATGTCATCGCATGCAGAGCTGTAGCCGAGTTTTTCTCTAGATTTTTTATTTTATTAGGATCTACTAATCTTGATTTAGCCAAGTTTTTGTGCTCTGTTATTCTAATCGACTGCTTTGGTCAAAGCAGTGACCAAGTTTTACTCTTATATGAATTATTGCATTTTTATATCAGGATCTACATTAGCTCATCTGCATCCACGAGTTCGCTTTTTGCTTGAAAATCTTATCACTACATATCAGTGCCATTATCATTCGACTGCTAACATCACTTTTATTTCGGTTATCCCTCCTACTAGCCAACTTCCAAGCAATTTGATGTGAAGTAGGTGATCAATATGCAGAAATATATGCGCCTTGCACTTATAAAACTTCAAAAAGGTCAAAGAAAATCCAAAGAGCTTATCATCTGCTTTAATTTCACTGAAGAGTAACCAGCATCGTGTTGCCTACCTTCAGTACAGATCGTATTATATCGATTAAAGAATGCAAATTTACCAACTGACTAGCTACACTTCACGGTAAATTGTCTTTGACAACGAATACAACTGGCAGACAGTTCTACTCAACAAAAGTTTCATTTCAAGGAAAATGTTTACTACTAACGAGTTACTGCGAATAACCCAACCTAAAATGTTTGGTCTAATTTTTAGCTAACCAAAACAAAACACAAAAATAGAAAAAGAACGAGAAAATTAGATCAACTTTAAGTTTATGCACTACATTACAGTGATTTACGTACACATGCAACAACCCAGAGAACATGATGTCCCAGTTCGCTAAGGATAAATAATAAACTACGGTGGCATACGTACAGCACCATCCAGTCGAATTACTGAACCATTCAACATTGGTATACGAATGATGGCTTCAACAAGTTGTGCAAATTCCTCGGGTTTGCCTATACGTGCGGGCAATAATGTAAGCTTTGTCAAGAATTCAACATTTGAAGTACCACTGAGTAGGGGAGTGTCAAAAAGTCCTAGAGAAACACAATTTAGAAAAAAGAGTAATATGAGTTCGGACGGTACAAAGTCAATTTTTTTTTTCTACACGTGAAGATGGATATTTTACATGTGTGCATTAGAAGAAGAAGAAGAAGAAGAAGAAGGAAAAAACTGAGTTTTGTACCGTGTATCATAGAAATATAAGACGCCCGCCTCCATCTAGCCTCACTGTACTACCATTGATCATTGGATTTTGAATGATATTTATTACAGAGTCAGCAAATTCTTCCGGTATACCCATACGCTGAATTACCAGCTGAATATCATTCAGATATTCTAGTCGATAGTCATGGAATCCACGTCCACCCATTATTGTCTTCGTGTGAAACAGACCTATATGGAATTCAACAATGTGATGGATAAAGCTGACTAGTAATGACACCGAAAGCGCACACACAAATATACAGAGAGAAATGATAATATGATTACGGAAAAGCGAATATAAATCTTGTCCTATCATTGACAAGACATTAATTTGAATATGCATAGAATGATGGGAAAATTACGATGGTGGACTGATTGTCTTTAACAAGTCGTTATCAAGCGTAAATTAGCAATCCATTAACAGGCTCGTGTTTTGACCCCCTTTATGGACAGAACCTTTTACACGATGATCAACAGTAATGTGTACACACAAATGCTCAAACGTCGATGGGTAAAAGTAGCTTGAATCAAGTTATGATAGGGTATGTTAGATTGGGTCTTGTGCACTACTAGGAGCGTGTGGGGTTGACACTTTCCGGCGGCCCACACCGCGGAAGGCTGTTTCTTCTTAAGAAACTTGATAGAGAATCCATGGGAAACCAAGGGTCTGTCACATGGGACCTTTCGTAGGATGCTGTTTTAGAGCTTGTTTGTTCTAACACGGGACAGAGAAAACCTATACCACCAACACTGGAAGACCCTGGGGCAAGTGGAGGGGGTGTTACTTAGCGAGTCGACCTTCCCTACCTCCCTACCTGTTGAGACGGCAGAATCAGCGTGGTACTGGTCATCCAAAGGAATCACCTTACTGCTGTCACACCCCATCCAGCTAGCAGCAGTATAACTTCACCCTCACACCTCAATCATAGTGTAGTAATCTACATTACAACGGCAACTGATTTTCGTCTTATCACTATCCATCAGACCTTTTTGGATCTCGAGAGAACACACATTAAACCAGCATAGCACGATGAGTTATTGTGGTATCCAAGCCTCAACACCACGTCAAGGTGGAAGCTATTGGTTGGGGAGTTTGAATCAGTGACTTACGAGCCGATATGTAAGCGTCTATACACCGATGAAGCCATAGTCCCCGAGCTATAACTTCAGTGATGGGACGAGGTAGGTGGGTGATTCAATGTTTTCTACCGATATTGGTCATTATACAATACAAAAATCAAATTTTATAGATTGTTGAAGATATGGCTGATATCGGTTATGATGTCACTGATTTATTCACCCTTAGTCTTACTGTAAATATAAAATATCAGACGTATTTTACTACAATTTTATAGTGTTTACTCAACTTCTATTTGGGATCAGTAAATCGTCAGATAAAAATTTCGAAGAGAAATCGGATTGGAAAAACTGCTTGAAATCACACACCTAACTGATACAGTGAAAGGGAGAGTGAAAAATATGTACTTTTGTAGTGAGTGCTGCAGATCAGAATGGATATAGGTAGTATATGTTGAGAGGGCGACAGAAATCATAGGCAATTACCAGCAATGGGTAAGGATTCAGTCCCGAGAAACGCAAGAGACAATGTGGGCGTATCAAAAGCAAATCAATATAGAAGCAGAAGAGGAGATGAAGTACATTATGCAAAAGACTGTCTTAGTGCAAGATGTCCCATATTTGATGACTACTGTACAAGATGTCAATAATAAACATTCCTTTCTTCGTCTCCGTCTTGTCGTTCTCTACACTTTTAGAAAAATATGAAAGCTGTACAAAGGGTCACGAAGTGAAGGAGGATTAGGAGTTGAGTTTTTTTATTTCAATTGTAACACCAAACATTAAATATTGGGAGAATTGTATTTCGTCGATTTCATCTTCTCATTTGGTTAAGGTTGACGGTAAATGACTATGAAATTGTCCTTTGCTTCTCAAACCTTCAATCATATTGTCAACTTTCAACGGTTATATTTCATCGTCGTGTTGTAGGATTACATGTGGAATGAGACCAACACCAGCAGCATATTCCGATATTTTCTGCCTCATTTTCATAAACCAAGTGTTGTGGGGAGAGAGTAAAATCAATACTGCTTGAATATTCATTATGCAATGGTTCAGTTGGTGGTGGTTACCAATCGAATCCTGGAGGCGCGTTTCTTCCTGTTTGGAACTCGTCAAGTGGATGCATCTACAGTCCAGTCAGTGATGCTATCCCCATTGGGACTCGAACCCAGCATCCATTGCTCCAATCCCCAAACAGTTATACACTAGGCCACTCGGAATGGCAGTTACTTCTCGGACAACGGGTATCATTTATTGTTGCTTGATACTTGTAATTTCTCGTTTCTACACTGGGTCGCATTGCTCGATATTTGCTGGCAGGTGGGCTTCTATACGAATCCCTTGGTACTGTCCAGTGGCTAACACTATGGTGTTTGAAGCAATGTGCACTGGGTTCGAGTCTCGGTCGGAACAACATTCACTAGGATGCAAGTACATCCAGCCGATGAATCCAAAACAGGACGACACATGCGTCCTGGATTCTACTGGTAGCTACTACCAGGTGAACTACAGCATGATGAATATTTAGGCAGTATCAATACTTACTCAACAGAGACCGAGATAATTAGACCCAGAGGAAAGTGATAATTATCAATCAACAAGAATGCGACCGAACTAATCGCTAAGATGGTATGTGGTGAAACCATACAACGACTTCACTTCTCCCATTTATATAGTCTATAAAAGTACCTCAATGGTTGTCACTAGAGTTTGTGCATAATTAGTGGTAGTCGTATATAACAGATGGTTTGAGTAATTCACTCATAAACTGTAACGGAAGTGATGACATAACTGTAGCTACACCTGTAAGCGGTAGGAGAAATCAATGGTGAGCATAAAAACGTAAGCAGCAAGATGAGAATGGAGAGAACCATATGCCAAGCTAGCCAATAAATAGATCCAGAATATAATTATATGTTCTGTTGTTAGAAGATAAGATAACAAGTGCACTCATACCAATAATACAGTTAATTTTTTAAGAACAAGGTTTTGTAGAATACAACTAGGAAATCAACAATCCAGGTAAATAGTTGATATCTTCAGTCATCAATTTGGCATCAACTACAGGACTAAATAATAAAAGGACTAAGAAGAAAATGCATTGATAACCAGTATTTTACTTTAAGCTAGAAAACAATCAGCGGTACCGGATAGTTTATAGATTTCTGACAGTAACTTGCAAACTCCTTAGGAATAAAACTATTACACATGTGAAGAAGTATATACAAAGCAAAACACAGCCCTAGTGGGCCAGTGTCTCCATTCTCATTTAATTTTATCACAAATATTCTTATTGAAGTCTCCCTCTCATCACCTGACTACACCAAGGTTGACCTAGTCGCGGGAGAATTTTCATTTGACCTAGAATACGCAGATGACATGGTCCTGTTAGGTGAAGACGCTGACAAGATGCAGTCTCCTGGACACTTTGAGAATGTTTGGGATGCGTTTCTCACCATCCAAATGCAAATTGTTGCTCCAGGATTGGTCTTCAACTGTGCCACGCTTAACAATAGAGAGTGAAGTAGCTGAGTGTATTGACAACTTCACTTAACTGGGAAGTAGGATCAGATCTGATGGCTCAGTGGCCGACGAAATCTCTACACGAATACAAAGGGCTTGGCTGACTTTTGTTAAATTACGCCACTTCACTGCAGCTCGCTTCGTTCTACTGTATAGCTGTGAAACATGACCATTAATCCTAGGGAAAGTGAGAAGGCTTCAGGTATTTGACCATCGTTCCAGTCGCATCGCAAGCTGTGTAGTGATGTTGAAGAAACAGAAGACAACTCGACGAGAGAATGTATTTTAAGAAGAATTGGAATGGTAGTGGTTACATATGGTACTCCTTGCACTAACGCAGCCATTTGCAAATGTCTTCGCTTCCTCTCTGTTCCTGTCTTGATTTGCTCTTGACCGGCTCTTCATACACTTTTATCAGCAGCATCCCCTGTAATACGCCTGTGTTGCCCCCTGCGTTACTCTTGGCAGAAACCTTACCCATTGCCGTTAATTCCTTATGATTCCTGCCACCCTCTCCATATATACTACTTATATCCGTTGTTATCAGCAACGCCCACCACAATGTGACCATGTTAGTGATACAGAAGTCAGGTGTAGAGTTTTAGGGAGAAGAGGTTGAGAACCCTCATTGAGTGAGGTAACTGAGACATGTGTCATGCACGCCTAATCACCGTCTGCCTCAGAACTAAGTTAGCAGCTGAATTAGTTTAAGGTTGTAGAAGGGCTAGGGGCGGCCAGACTAAAACACGGGATCACTGCATGAAGCCTTTGACAGTTGGTGCGATTCATTTAGAGAGATGTAGACCAGTCGGTTGGGGTCCACGTGATAACAAACCAGTAATGGGAGACCAAGTGAAATCGCTCAGAATCCATTTCAATGGCACAAATGTATCCTCATCTTAATTATCATACCGAATCCAGTATTTTCTTATTCCTGCTTGTTATTTTATCATGACTTTCTACAACTTTAAGTGCTTTCTCGCTTGATGTGCTGATATGATGTGTGATAACCGCTTTTTAGTTATGCTTGGTCCTAGGTTGATGATAATATCGTTTAATATTTTGACTGAAAACAAAACGTGAACTAAACTGGAGGAATGATGTCACACATATAAGTTTACGCTTTTAGACAGACTGACAAACCAACGCAATATCATACGCTAAAGTTCAACACTTCAACATGCTACAACATAATAAACAATAAAGAAAACAATCAAAGTAGACATATATATTCAATCAATACTCAAGAAGTATTTCAGAAGAGAGGAGGGAAATAAGTGAAGAGTAGTAAGGTGTGTGCAATTTCAATGGTCAATTTTGAGTCATTCTTTTTCTTACGGAGTGGGAAAATCGAAATACATATTGAGCATATTCAGCATCAATGTACAATATTCCTTTGCAAACTGGGAATAGATTACTTGTCCATATAAAAATGGTTGAGTTGGTGAGAGATTGGCCGAAATATTGGTCTGGTTAAGTCTATGCATTGACCATAAACTGTTTCCAGTTTAAAATAACATAATAAAAAAGATCAACACGTTTAAACATTCCAGTGATTCTGCCAAGGCATGAAGATAAACGTAGCTGACCAATCCAAGTACACTTTCGTACACCATGCTACCTACTAGACTGCAGTGTATTTACAACTGTGATTGAATAATAAATGAGTAAGCACCTAGATAGGCTGCGTACTATTCCTTGCATCGATTTCTAGTCCTTCCAAGTTCATGAACACTGTACAAACACTGAACATAGTCTTTTAGAAATGTGAATTATATACCACAGCCGGCTTCACACAACAAAGTAAAATGAAACGAAACGCACTCCGCAACCTGGTGTCCATCTGTGCAGTAGGCGGCAATGAGCCACAGCTTTTGTACGAGAGCTAATGATACTACACTACCTGGTTGCCGAAACCTCAGTAGGTGAAGCGGGGCTCAAACCCAAGACTCACTGGGTGAAAGTTTTCTCCGTAAATCAATGAGCCACAGCTTCACTACACCGCAAAATAGTAACAGATAAACGTTCGTGTGCAAAGCAAACTAACTGGAAGTTTGTTTATAAAATAAGGAAATATTTGCAAAGTCCTAATGAATTGGAGAAGTGAATTACTGACATCTCACGTGTGAAGTATGACACAATCAAGCTATTATTGTGTTTCAGTTTCAAACACACACACACACACATACACACGCCTTGATAGCAATGAACCCATCAACTCTAAACTCTGTCAGTACTCAAGTTTTTCTAAACTCTAAACTACGGAATCTTAAGGTTAGTGGTTATGTTTCTGTTACGTGGAACGGGCTCTTAAATCGTATGGCTGTTTTCATGAGTCTGTCTTCAAACAAAAAAATCTTAAAAGCCATCAGTACTTACTAATTGAATTACACATCAACACTCAACTAACCTGGTGCAATTGATACACATCGAATTCCCTCTCGTGCAAGATCACGAGCAATTGGTAGAGTAAGTCCAACGATCCCACCTTTGCTTGCAGCATAAGCAGCCTGTCCAGCCTGACCTTCATATGCTGCTATACTAGCAGTGTTGATTATCACACCACGTTGATTATCATCATCTGGTTGATTTTCCAACATTAAACCAGTTGCGATTCGAATCATATTGAAAGTACCAACAAGGTTAGTCTATACCAGTGAATAATAGATTAAAAAAAGAGCGCAGGGTGCAAATCAGCTTAAAATGAATCTCAAAAGAAAAGAAAATTCCTAAACTACCGAAACAGACTGCAACTCATTATTATCGATGGAAAACCTTACAAACTGTGGGTCGTTATAGAATAGAAGTAAGCATTTCACAACGTAAGAAACTTTTTTTAAATGAATAAGCAAGGCTGATAAGTCGAATGACTTAAGATTTTAAGTTATATGCTCAGAACCAATAGCAGTGGTGCAGATACATTCATACATCAACTTCGCTGTTTTATGACACTGCGTTATTTGTTGTACACCTCTTTCTTACGACTTTCATAACCTCCCCTCTCTATTTCTGCCTTTCATATCTGTCTTGTATCTTGATGTGCAGGTGTAAGATATGACACTGAAATGCTCCATAGCAATGATACAGTCCCACATTAATATTAACTGACTGAGTGCGGTAACAAACATTGAGTTGGAAAAATCTCAAAGGCAGTAAAAATTAATTGGTGCAATTAACATGGTTGTCTACCAGGAGGTGTTGAGTTAGTAGCCTCACAGAAACTCTTTATGGACATCACTTAATTATGTACCACTTCATCCTTTAGCTACACTTCTGTGAATGTTCAGCGATAAAATGTCAGTGGATTTGCCTGAAATGAATAGCAGTTGACCCACTTCGGTTTCAGCTTTAAGACATCCAGGTCTTGAAGCAACAAAATACAACTGTGAAGATCTTAAGGCATTCGTATAAACTTTACTCTGCATTACGCTATTTAATTTATTATTGTCATTGTTGTTATAATTAAAGATCAACCTTTTTATGATTATTTTTCGCTTCGTTTTCACTTTATTCAGTTGTGCATCACTGCACGAAATTCTGATCATTTTTTTTTTACCATTTTGAGTTGCTTTTTAAAAACTGTCTTCCGAGACAACTAATTTAACTATTCTGAGACGCATAACTGTTAAACCTACCGCCTGTCTACTCCCTGAGATCGACTAGACAACGGACAAACTAGCTAGGATATCCGACGGCACTGTTGTTGATATTCGGTGTGTTTCAGAGATACACAAATGTGATCTCAATGGATGACGCTCAATAAGTTCCACACCTGTCAGGTCTGTCCAACCGGTTATTTAATTACAGTTATCTGTGTACTGCTAGAGCTAAAAGGTTGATTTAGAGTAAGAAGTAACTAGTAAAATAAACGATGTCTTTTCACTGCTTGTTTCAGTGCTCATGTGAATTGAATTCCAAAATTCGATCATTGGCTGGATGGCCCGCTTAAAGTATGACCAACAAGATAACTTAATCTTAGCTTGGTCACGTTAATGCTTACAATTTGTTAGTGTAAAATTTCATGAATCCATGCAGGTTTACATTTTCAGTTTCTCTCTTTCAAAGCCTATTCTGTTACTTTCAGCTATGTTCACCTTACTGTTCTTTTGAATGAAAATTTGTTAACCAGTTATTACGCCTGAGTAATCGATGATGTTAGTTGTTTTTTCTCTCACCTATTAGAAAGTAAAATTTTCCTCAAACTTCTTTCCAACTTCTGCTGTTTCTAGATTATTCATTTTATCACTCTACAAATAGTTGTCACCACGTGAGCAACGCAGAAGTCAGGAGTAAAGTTTTAGGGAGAAGAGGTAAGTCAGTTGACGAGGTTGTGAACCTTCATCGACTAAGGTGGTTGGGACACGTACTAAGTATGCCTAGTCACCGCTTGCCTCGTCACACAATGTTGGCCAAAGTAGGTGCAGACTCGAAAAAGGCTCGAGGCGGCCACACTAAAACATGGCACCAATGTATAGAGTCGCTGACTGTTGGTTTGAGTCATGTGGGGCGATGCAGACTAACCAGTTGGGGTTCATAGGACAAGATGAACCAGTGGCTGGAGACTAGATGATATGGCCCAGAGCCGATGTCAGTGGCGCAGATGTATACACACATTATTCTCATCTTAATGCTATACCGAATCTCACCATTTTCTCATTCTTCGTTTCTCTCTCTTAGTACCTTATATTTTTTTGACTGAGTTTTCTTTTCTTCATCTTCCACTTCACTGCCTTTTTACTTGGTGTGCTGATGAGCTGTGGCAACTTGGACCGTTATGCAGTAATGCCTGGTCCTATGCTGTTGTTGATGATGATAAATAGTTGAACTTATGAGTTTTTTTTGGCGAATTCATCATTTTTAGTCAGCCTCCACGTCTACGTTATCTTCCTTACGACTGAACATATTTATTGTCAAGTTTAAGAAAGTTGTTTGTAGATGTTTGTTTTTTCCGGTATTTTATAGAAATTGAAGAGAACTGGCATGCAAAGTCTGCTACTTGTTTTGCTTTATTTAACTTCATGAATGAGAAAAACTATGAAAACAGATGAGTTGGACTCAGGAGGATAAAATTAAACCTTCGTGTTAATTGAAAGTTCGTATGAACTATGATACAATTAACAGCTAAGGAAAAAGGGTTTAAAAATTGGTTATCAAAGTAGTGAAAACCTGACGATTGCTTCTTTTAGAAAACATTAGGAATCAGTAGATACAAGACTAAGTCTTGAACATATACATTTTTGACCTCCAGACTGACTCGTTTAGTTATTATAAGATGACTTCCTTTCTTTCTTGAAGATTAGGACAGCAAGCAATTAAGATCGGTTTTAGGGGACTATATTCTCAACCGGATATCTCGGCTAATAATTCAGCCAGTCTAGTTAATAAACTTCGGCGACAGTACCCAAATATCTTTAAAGTAGTAATTCCACTGCCTCTTGTCTTTACTCTCTTCAAGTTACTTACAGAGTCCGTAACTTCTGTAAGAGTTTAACACCCCATCTCAATTGTAGTGTACCTGGCTTCTAGCAGTAGTAACCAGCTTGACCCGCATTTCGTCCCGATTGGGACTTGTCAGTTTGAGAGACTCAAACCCAGGACCAATCATTTCGAATGCCAAAGCGTTATCCACTAGATCACAACAGCCATTTCTTGTGCAACGAGTATCAGTTGTTGTCTAGTGATACTCGTAATTTCCAGCAGCTATACTAGGTTGAATTGCTCAACCTCTGTTGCTAGATGGCGTCGAATGCCGCCAAGTAGACCACAATATAATGAATATCCAGGCAGTATCGAAGCATCCACATAGGAGTCCATCTGTCAAAAGCGGTAAAGCAATTCAACCCAGCACAACAACGGGGAATCACAAGCATCAAACAACAACAAAAGCACCATCTTAACGTTTGCAGTTTGGGAGGCGACTGGGAAGATGACGACTAAGGAATAATTGGAGGTCTGTTGAGCCTTTTCTTCCCACTCATTATTCTGATCGTCTCCTTGATGACCGGATCACAGCCCCATCTTCGCCATAGTTTCACTAATCTAAGAATAAATAATTTCCTACGGTTGCCTATGACCACTGTTTTTTCCACTTTTTTAGCCTTCGCTTTCAATCACAACTACAGTCATTGTGTAGTTTTGTTGTTAGCTTACATCTGACTTGCTTTTACGAACCAATATGCTCAGTTTGCAGGAATGCATTTTACTGAATTTATCGGTTCAGTTCTCTGCAGTGAAATTCGACAGAGATTAAGTATAATAGTATCCGTTGCGTGAAAAATTGCACGCAAACACTGAGATTTAGTTGTCAGGATACACGGCCGATATCAGCCATAGAGGCTTGACTAACTGACTCTTAACTTTCAGAATTTTTCGCAGCTCATTCAAGCCGCCAAAAACAAAAGGCCTAATGTCAGTGAAACGATTTTTAATAAACTAACTAGTAGTTCTCAATGACACTTGTAGCTTGTTGAATGAAGCTTTTCGAAATACATTACTGGTTTGCTGCTTTTAGCAACTATAAAGTACCATAGTAGGTTAACAGAGACTCAACTAAAAAGGTTAGGATTAGAGGGGAACTAAAAGTATTGAAATGCAGTAAAGTACTTGACTATGATAACTAACCCCAATCTGTTTCCTAAGAATTAAAGCAAAACCCTTATCTGTCACTAATTATTCTGGAAGGGATAAGGGGTTGAATGCTTAAATACTCTGGAATGAATTCATTATTATAATTATAAGGTTTAACTTAACATCTACAAAAATTATTGGGGTACAATTCTATTTATTACAGGTTGCATCTAAGAACATCTACTATCCTATCTCACAGATCAATGCTAAATACATGAAGTACGGTAAGAGCTCGTAAACAAGAGGCTAGATTTTGTTTGGATAACGTCTTCACTATTTATCAGGTGTTATAACACCCGCATATGCATCGTACGTCAGCAAAAATTGTTTCATTTGATTCCTTTTACATCAGAAATATATTATTGTATTTTGAGTTTAATGGTTTTTTTTATTTTTAGATAGTATTCATCACGGACTGACATTACCTGGAGAACCATTGAAAACCTAGAAGCACTGGATATGTTTCTTCTTAGTACGGGGCCCTTCAGCAGTACATATCCACCACTCCATCAGGGACCGACCCCAGGACCTTCACGTTTCACGGCAAACGCATTAACCACTCAGTATGTCAAAATACATTACTGTATATTGCTCATTAGTGATATGCTTCGAGATGGATATCCCGAAGTTCCAACGAGAAAACATGACCAGTGGAGTCAACCAGTTGGAAGTGAAACGGATGCCAACTGAAGATCTTGGATGATAGTCATGGCATATCCCGAATTGACAGAAGTAGGAAACTGTGGATCATTGGTTTCTGACCCAGTGGCTGAGTGGTTAATGCGTTTGCCGTGAAACCCGCAGGTCCTGAGTTCGATCCCTGGCGGGGTGATGGATAAGTACTGCTGAAGGGCCCCGTACTAAGACGAAACAGTACTTCTAGGTTTTTAATGTTTCTCCAGGTAATGTCAGTCTGTGATGATAACTAACTTAAAAATATAGTATCACCATTAGAGATACGTCTAATTCCTAAGAAAAAACTGTTCTACGAAACTGTTAAACAGAGAGGGATTTCCCTCAG